GAGTATTTCTTTTCTTTAGTTGGAGGCAGACAGGCAGACGAGCAGGAGGAGTAGATCTTCCAGATGGGTTCACAGGACCAAGAACGAGTTTCACTAAGCATAGAAAGAACACAAGTAAGTACTCTCAGAGGATTCACGGGTTAGGCAGGCCAGGAACAAATACCATGGATATGTGTTGCTCCGGCGAGGTCCTGTTCTTCAGTGCCGTCTAATAAACCCCTGGTGCTCATCAGTGGAACCTGCTGCAGCCGCGCTTCTCAGGGCGTCAGCCAATCATGGATCAACAGGTGAAAAAACTCTAATTGCCACAGTACCCCCATCTCAAGAATCGCCTCCAGGCGATCGGGGGTGCTTCTCAGGATGATCTCTGTAAAAAGAAGAGATTAGTGAGCTGTAACTGTGCGTACGAACGGTTCTTGCATGAGGCCCATTGTTTCAAAACTGAACACTCCCCTCTTCACTAACCTGTGTAATACTCTACCCTGTGTGTACTTTTGTATGTAAGATGGATTGCTCTTGCAATTGGGACTGCAAATAGTTTAGTTGTACTTAAAGATTCTGGTTCTGATGAACTCTGTCTCCTCTGTGTCTCTCCTGCAGTTGGAGCGAATGTTGGAGAGCAGCGCTGTGCGAGCTCAGAAGCAGCTGGTGTTGCTGCACAGGGAGGATGGCCCTCCACCCAGCGGGACAGCAGAGTGGCTCAACATGCGGAGCTGGATCTGCAGACACCATCACCTGTCCTGCCCCCGCAGAGTCTTCTCCAGAAGGAGTCTACCAAAGCTGGTATTCATGAACGCCTGGTTGTGTGACACAATGGGGTCTCTAAGAAGCATGAATGTCTACATTACAGACATTAGAACAGTTGTCCTGTTGAGGACAATCATATTATCTATTCTATTCTAATATAATCTAATCTAGTGTGCCACTTAAGGTGGCAGCACAGGGTTTCCCCTACATGTAACTGATTGTGGCGCTCCGCCACGGTAAAATAAAAACCGCCACAKCTTCAGAATGAAGTTTTTTATTTTAAATTTATCAACGTAAAACAGGGGTTGATACAACCATTGTTTAGGTTGTCCGAGACAACTTTTCTTCGTTTCGGACAACCAGATCCCGCCTCCCGGTTGTCCGGTGGACGACCAAGAAAAAAAGACCTGGATTAAAGTTTTTCGCCGAGGGTGTTCGTCATTAGAAAAATTAAAGGGAGAAAAAAACTTGTTAAAACCATCTGGGGATTAAACTGACTGTTCTTTCACCCAATGAAGAGAGTGGCTAAAATTTTGACTGTGGTAGTCAAAGTTTTACCCAGAGCAGGGCGGGCCGTGCCGTCTGACAGACTGCACGCTGCCCTTTTTTTTATCTTCTTTCTCTGTGGGTGGGGGGTCAGCCTCACTCAGCTAAGGTGAACACCTCCTTGGAAAGCCGTCAGCGTCTCCTGGACTATATTCTACCAAGGATTATGTCGTATTTTATATATATTATATTTCTAAAAGTACCTCGCAGCATTTCCTCTTTAACCCTGTGTGTTCACGAGCACAACAAAACCCAGACAGATCACCTGACTGTTTTTAAAGTGAGGGGCAGTGACTGCAGCAGCTGCACCTGTCCATCTGAAGCGTGGCACGGCTCTGACCAGCCTGGGACTTAAAAGTCCATACATGTCAACCCCTTCAGACATGTACAATGAGCATCAAAAATCTGTAATTTGCGCAAAAAATCAYTATTAATCACACGCAGGTGGGGTGGAGGTGCAAGCGGACCGCAGCTGCGCGGGTGGGGCAACTTTTAAAGACGTGTCTACGTTTGAATTTCATTCTTTTCTAAAATCAGAGTTCTCTGGGTCAGCTTCAGGTGCTTGTAGTTAATCAAAGATATCTCCTAAATTTAACCAGGTGTTTCAATGCCTTTAAGTTACAGAATCATTTTAGTGGAGAAACTTGTCAGTTTGGTTAAGAAAAACTAAAAATAAATATTTTTTTCTTCTTTTTTTACTTCCTCTTCTATATATTTTTTAAATAAATATGTGACCCATC